CCAGAGATCAAATTGAAAGTAATTGTTAAAATTGTGTGTTCCTTAATAATACAGAACCGCCGGCTAGTGCTCTGGGAGATCTGAGAGTGACAGTGAGAGCTTCTCCACCGGGCCACGCCCCACGGACCTCTCACTCCTCCCATAGGACTTGTTCTGTGCAGCTGCTGAGTGATTGTGCTGGGCCGTCTTATGGCGGTCCCAGCGCTTCAGTCGGTGTGCCGCCAGAGGATCAGATGTTGATTGCAGCATCGGGGGATGGGCTTTTGACCTCTGAGGATGAAGATTCGGAGGGGCTGCCCCCCTCAGGTGTTGTCGCCACTGCCGAATCGGACCCAGAGTTGACGGCCATGCTTGCCCAGACAGCCGTGAGCATTGATTAGTTTCTTAGGGTGGAGCGCGGCTCACAACCGCATTCTAAACCGGTTCCTTTCACCGTGAGTGCTGTCCAGCATCCTCCGCGCTGAGACATCATCAAGGCTGGCATGTTGAGCCCTACGCAGGAGGACAGTGCCCCCCATGTAAATATTTAGTACCGTAAAATCCCCTTAAAATACAAAACATTTATAAAAAACTAAATCTTACTATAATTGTCATTGTAGGTCTACATATTTATGTACTTTATGCTTTGTTTTATATTCTTTATAAATTAGTTATGTTTTGGTTTGAGGTTTATGAGATGCAAAATTTATATATAAAATAGTAAAAGTTAAATTAGCCTACTGAAATACCTTTATGATATAAAAGATTATCTAAGTTTCTTTGGCTGTGAATAATAATGTTTACGTTTTAGATGTTGTCGCTATGTCCATATTGTTGCCTGTATGTTTAATTTTCAAATGTTAAAAATAAAAAAAATTGTTTTGATCCTATAAGTAATATATACCTACGTACAAACATTGAGACCAGGCTGGATGTAGAAAAATGTAGAAAAACAAATGCTTGTGCAAAGATCAGAACAAAGATGAGTTTGCTTCCTTGTAGGCACAGTGAGTGTTTCCTGTAACTCACAGAGATAGTTTGATGCCACTCGTCCAGTTGCATTTTTCAGCTTCTAAATATAGAAAGAAAACATTCAAAGTTGTTACACAAATGTTACTCACGGTTACAGTCAGAAAATCACGATAAACCCCATTATTTATTAGTTAGAATACTAATCCTGCTGAATGCTGCTTAGGAAGCTTCAATTGTATTTGATCTGACGGTCTTGACAACTTTGTAAAACAAATATTCATCCTTGATCGGGTTTTTGCACATGCGGGGAAATTCCTGTAGAGAAAAGAAACTAAGCCCAACCACAGGTATTAAGTTCTATTGAACTAAAAACATCCGGCATTCTCATGACGATACCACATGAATGCATGCAGCCAAGTGAAGATGACAACTATTATTTACCCTCATAGTTTTAAAGAAAATAACAGCAGGGGTTGGAGCAACAATTTTCATGCAGCTCTTCTCCACACAACAACAATTCAAAGTGAACAAAATTTGTCAAGCTCCGAATTACATATTTCAAAACAGAGAAAATTGAAGGCATATTCAGCATTGCCATTTTTAGTCTTCATTTAAGTGGATTTTCTATTTCATTTTTTAGGCTAATTCTAGTTTACATGACGATCTACAACATTAAGAGAACTCAAAACTCTACTGGAATGAGGAAGAAAACAAATGTGAGAATCAGTTTCAGTCTTTGACTCACAAACAACTTTGAGTTTTGTGCTCTAAAGTAAAAAAAAAAAAAAAGTTGCGTTTTAATAATGTTTATTCAGTGCAACATTTAGTCTTTCTGTGGTTAAAAGTACAAAAACCTTATAAAAGACGAAGGATATGATCTACGCAACTGTTGCTGTTCAAACTCTATTGCTGATATTCTCCTAATAAACACTGTCAGTGACCAAACGTTTGTGATTGTCTTATAGACAAGCCTGTATTTATTTTTTTTATTTGGAGATTACATCTGTAACTGGAATTCAGATATAGATTACACTGAAGACGTTTCGTTGGGAGGGATTTCAGCCAGTTAGCCTTTTTAGATAAATCAGCGTTTCCGTAAAACCAGATACTTCACACAGACTGCAGGTGTGTAGGAATATGCATTTATATTTGTTTAAGTGTCTCTCAATGTTTTGACAGGGCTTTTTTTACATAGATGATTTAATGGGTATGTACAAAACAATAAAGTGTTCAAAATTAAAATAACATTCTGAAAAATACTGAATTGTTTTGCTGTAAGCAGACTAGAGAGTGACGGTGAAGCTCTTCTGTCAAGAACACATTTAGATAAGTGATCACCATGAGTATCAGGTGAGTTGAAATTCAAGTGCCTTTCTATAGGAGGGAAAATTACTATTTTAAATCAAATTGAAAGTAATTGTTAAAATTGTGTGTATCTTCCTTAGTAATACAGATTTTTATAAAAACAGGTTTTATAAAAATACAGCACTATTCATATACTGATAAACTCGACAGATGTTGGATTTGGAACCGCATACTAGCATATTACTCTTACTAATTTTTACTAACAATATCCTTCTATGCCATAAATAGTAAGAGAAGTATGATAGAAGGTGGCTCCAAGAAAGGCGGCTAGCAAGAAAAATGAAATAAAGGATCATATAACTAGCTGTAAAGTGTATCGTGGCGCCATCTAATGGATTGAATGGTCTTTACCCAGAATAGAAAAAGAAAATGCTTTGATGTATCAGTTATTCAGTTATGTGTAAATTCATAAGCAACTATAACTTGTCACCGATTAAAAATAAATAAATAAATACATAAAATAACCCCCGCAACCTTGTAAAGGTTGTTTCCACCACCAAATAAAAATAAAAAAGGAAATTGTAACTTTATATCACAATTCTGACTTTTTTTCTTGCAGTTGTGAGTGTACTTCTCACAATTCTGTTTTTTTTTCTCGCAGAATTACATGATATAAACTCCCAATCAAGTGTTAAAATGTCAGAATTACAAGATATAAACTCACAATTCTGACTTTCTTTTTTTCTCATGATTGCAAGTTTGTATCTCGCAATTCTGAATTTATGTTTCGCAACTGCAAATTTTCTTCCCACAATTCTGGCTTTATAGGCTCAATTGTGAGTTTATATCTGAAGACAACAAGTCAGAATTCTGAGTTTATATCTCACAATTCTGACTTTTTTTTTTCTCAGATTAGTGAGGAAAAAAAGTCTGAGATTAAAAGAGCTGTGAGATTAAAAATTGCATGTTTTTTTTTTTTTATCCTAACGAGCTTCCACATTTAATTGAATCTATGCTAACTGCTTGCTGAAATAACTACAACATTGAAATAAGAGGGCAATATAGAGAAAGAAAGAAAGAAAGAAAGAAAGAAAGAAAGAAAGAAAGAAAGAAAGAAAGAAAAAGTATTAGCTATATTTGCATTTTAATTAAAATGAAAATAACATAAATACCCACACCTTGTCCTAACCAGACCAAGTAGCTCATTTGCCCACACCAGACTGGACACGGCAAAGGCTTCGTTCACACTCCAGGAAAATGTGGCCCAAATCCAATTTTCTATTTATTTATTGATTGTTTGTTTTATTTCATGCAGTGTGAACAGCACAAACCATGGAATCTGATCTTTTTGATTCTGATTTGGTCCACTTTCATATAGACATTTTCACACTGAACGCGAAAATTCTCCGGATGTGTGTTCACGGTGTGTGTGTGTGTGTTCACTGCTGTGTGTGTGCACTTAGATGGGTTGAAGCGATTTCAATAGCCCGCATGCTGATAGTGGCTCCATGATGCGAGTAAATTATACAATATTAGTATTAAATATTATTGTAATGGTCAGAAATTTGCACAGGGCTCTATAATAGACAAAATGAAAGATATAATGAAAGACAAAATATTGTTTCATATCAAAAAGTTACAAAGATTACTGTGATTAAATCATAAAAAAAATAAACAATGGAAATTAAATAATAAAAATAAAAAGTTTAATATGGAATTTTTTATATTTATTATTTATTATAAAATACGAGTATACTACACTTATATCTGCCATTTATTTATTGATGTTCGTGGCAAAAAAAAAAAAAAAAAAGAAAGAGCAGTAGTGTATTTAAATTCTTTCTATACAATTGTTTACCTCCATCTTCATTTTATAGGCAGCCAAGTCTTCCACCAAGCAAACCAAATCTCATTCATCGAGGTCCGCCTAAACGATACCGTCTACATACAGAGAGAAATGTGCTTGATGAATATGGGAAAGTCAGAAAATTGACTTTTGGGAAAAAAGATGGCAGTAAAATAAATAAAATTATTCTGTTGGTGGGAGAGACCGGTGTCGGTAAGACGACTCTCATCAACAGCATGGTCAACTACTTACTGGGAGTGAGGTTTGAGGATGAAATATGGTATGAAATCACAGAAGAAGCAGCCAGAGATCAGTCAGAGTCACAAACCTCTGAAATCACTATGTATGAGGTCTTTCCTGTAAAGAGTCCCATATCACTCACTATCATTGATACTCCAGGCTACGGAGACACTAGAGGACTGGATAAAGATCTGGAAGTTGCTGAGAATTTAGCCACTCTGTTTCAGAGCAATGATGGAGTTCGTGAAGTCGATGCCGTGTGTTTTGTGATTGAAGCATCGAAGAATCGTCTCTCAGACAGACAGCATTACATTATCAGTTCAATTCTGTCTTTGTTTGGAAGAGACATTGTGAACAACATTATGTTCTTAATCACACACTCTGATGGTCTGCCACCCAAAAATGTCATCGGTGCCATTAATAAAGCTAAAATCCCCTGCAGACGAGACAAAAGCGGCCAACCTGTTCATTTCTTATTCAACAACCGGCAGGCTGATGCACGTCAAAATGAGAGACGTTATCTTCGTGCTCAAAGAGATGCCTGGGAAGACAGCGTGGAAGAGACAAATAAATTCCTTCAGTCTCTGAATGAAATTAACAGATGTTGTTTAGAGTTGACTTCAGATGTCCTGATGGAGCGCATTCGATTTGAAGCATCCATCTGCAACTTACAGCTGCGAGTTCAAGAGAAGGAGCTGAAAAAGTCTGAAAAACTTCAGATTCAGGAGGCAATGAGAAAAAACAGGGGAAAGATTGAGGAACGTATAAACTTTGCAATTACATTTAAAAAGACAGTTAAAGCTAAGGTTCCCATTGAGAGCAAGTCATGGAAGCACAGGAAGGCAACGACCTGCACTGTCTGTGAGGAAAACTGCCATGAGTTTGACTGCTGGTGGGGTGCAAATCCCAGCAAATGTGAAGTCATGAAAAACGGTTTCTGCACCGTGTGCACAGGGAAGTGTCATCACAGCAAACATGTCAAAGAAAACAAGAAATACTTCATCAGAACCTCAAGCATGACTATGAAGTTTGACAACTATAAAAATAAATATGAAAAAGCCCAAGAAGACTCTAGGAGATTTTCAGTCATAATGGATGATATTGACAAAGATTTGAAGGAGATTGAAGACCAAAAGTCAAATCTTCTGTCCGAAGCTTACCAGACCATCACTAATCTGTCTCAGATCGCATTAAAACCAGACTCTGCCTTCACTCTTCAGCATCTCGACTTCTTCATCCCCAGAGTGAGGGAGGCTGGGAAAGAAGATTGGTTGCGAGAGCTGGAGGAAATGAGGAGAAAAGCTGAAGCTGATGAAGCCAATAAAGATGCTCTGAGTTATCTGAAAGCTGGTCTGGCAAAACTAGATCTTTTCTTTGGTGGGCAATGAACAAACCCAGTCCAGATGAAACAATGAACATGTAGGACACTGCTTGCAATGAGAAATCAATACAGATGTCTCTCTGTACACAGGTGTTTCAGTCATAACAGGCATTACTGGTATATATGAGTGAATATATGCTAACAAATGTAAACTATGTTCTTTTTGTAATACGAAGGTCACTTAAAATATGTTTTGGAAACTTTATGTCATGCCTTCATCATTTATTTCTGACTTTTACCCTTGTTCCAAACTTTTAAATCTTACACAAAGTACTTAACCATAAATAATTTTCAATTTCTATATACAGTATGCTAAAGATGCCAAGACTGTCATTCATGCTGTATTTAATGCAGTAAACCCATATTATAACCTACTATTATACATATTACACTGTGATACAGTATGTCTACTACATTTATATTGTTGTACACGTATGGCAATAAAATTAAAAAGTGAACAATGTTGTCCTTTAATTGACTTTTTTACTCTCATTTGAAACTGTGAGCAGACATGTGCAAACTGACATGAAGAACACAACCATAGCAAACATACAGAGAATATGAACATGCTTTATGTAAAAAAAAGAAGAAGAAGAAAAAGAAAATAATTCATCCTGTACTGTTAACATTATTGTAAAATAATTATAGGGCAGAGAGACAGATTATTTGAATTAAATGATAATCAACTGCGATACTATCAACGCAAAAGAAAGACTTATAACGGCATATTATTGTTTCATCTCAAAGAGGCACAAAATCACTTTCATGGACTTTTTCATTAACTGTTCCCTCCTGGTGGAATGACCTACCCAAATCAATCCGAACAGCTGAGTCCTTAACCATCTTCAAGAAACTACTAAAAACACATCTGTTCCACCTTTATTTGACCCCCTAACTCTAACACTTTCTATTATATTTTAATTCTACTTTATCTATATTTATCTTATTGTTATTATTTTTTTTATTAAAAAAAAGAAAAAACATAAAACAAACAAACACTAGCTTTCTATTTTTTCTATTCTATCCACTTGGTTTTCTTTGTGTGTGTGTGTATATGTGTGTGTGTGTAATAAAATAAATAAATAAAATAAAATGTTTTTGCAGCGTTGAGCAATGTAGCCAATCACAGGCATATCTGTAGAGTGCAAATGACCAATCAGTGGAGTGAGATCAGAAACCCGCTCAAAACGGCAGTTTTCATTTAGCGTGTGTCCACTGACTACATCCTTCACGCTCGCAAATCCTTTATAGGTAATAAAACATAGACAATTTGTAAATAAGATATTCGTTATGCACTTTAGCCAGATTCATTGATTAACGGGAGCTTTCGCAAGAGTGAAGAATTCCATGATATCACGATGCTACCAAGTAAGAGACAGCTCACTTTCTGTATATAATCCATTCACAGTTTGAACAAGTTTGGTTTGTCACACTGGCTGCTAAGAGGACCATCGACCATCGCAAAGATTTGTGAGTTACGACAGCATTTAAATCCAGCAGTGAATCCTCTAGATTTGGTTCTGTCAGTCTCCTTCTAAACTGCGGAGATTGGCATTGTGATAACCATTGTAACGGATGAAAAAAATAATTTCAAAATAAATCTGTGCATTAATCAAATCAGTCTTGACTGAATGCACTTAGTAGCTTTAATATGCCTCTATAATTAGATACTAAAACAGTTTTGTCTTATTTGTAATGCATATTGTTTCACTGGTTGAGAAATGTTTAAAAGCTACATGCTAATGTTTTAAAGTAGCCTATTATAACTACCGCAAAGCAAGTGTACATTGCAGTGACCAGTCTCTCCATGTACAGACCAACATCTTATAAAAACATGCAGGGCGATGAGAGGAGAATATCTGAAAAACAAGACAAAGTATGACGGAAAAGAATCCAGCATAGTCATGCCAGTCAAACATTCTACATAACCAGTCGGTGAAGGAACATGCCACCACACCTGAAACACAAAGAAACCTGTATGCACAAGAAACTATTGTGCCAACACCAACAGCTATTTTCCGGTAGTTCCCAACACTACTGAAAGTGAAAGAATGATCTTACAGACACATATTAGGATCGGATGTTGTGTATTAAAGACAGCAAACTGAGAAACTGAAAGTGCTCAATATACAGTTTGCTGACTAGAGAGAACATGTACATGCAAAAACATCCAAAAACAAAGCTCCCTTGAGACTTTTCCCAAATGAGGTGACTTTTCACACAGGCCTTTATCCCACTTCCACATTTGAAAAGTGGAAGCTTTAAAAAGTAACGTAAAAGAAATGCCACTTGCACGCGCTGAGTCACTCATGATTACAGCGTTTTCATTGTTGAACTCCATCTCTGCAAGTACTGTGCTTGACTTGCTTGTAACATGCATTTGAAACCGCAACATGTGCCAAACATCCTCCCATGTTTGTAATAACAATGATCTGTTGTCAACAACAATTTTGAAAGAGGAAGAGCTTTTTTCTGTCTACCTTGAAGTTTTGGACAAAGTTTATGAAGATGGTGTTTTCTCCAATCAGCGCGATGTAATAATAGTGTCCTCTCTTCATGAGTGTTGGGGTTTGTGGCTCCTGATGCACGCCAGTGAGGAAAAACCTACTGAAGGAACAGCTGAAGATGCACTTATCAAGTGCAAACCAGAAACCTTTTTCAGTAAAGCAGTCTCCATTCTCCATGGTCTACTATTACATCAGGTCTGGAAACAATCTCCATGAGAAGGAACGTCATACTGAGAGCATTGAGATGTTCACCAAAGCTTTGGAGGATGGAGAATCTGGAGAGATTATTCCTCTATATAATCGTGCACTGGCCACTACTATAAAGAAAGACAGTGGTTATATCACTCGAGCATTGGCTGACCTGGAAAAGGCTGACAAGGCTGTAGTTTCATACAAATTATATCTGGCACAGATTATTAATCACATTAAATTACCATGTGCCAGAAACAGAAGGCAATACTTTGCTCACAAAACAGTTTATGATTGTAAATCTACTCAAGATGAACATTCAGGATGCTGGAATGAAGTTGAAGAGGGCTGTAAGCACAGGTGGAAATGTGAGACTGACTGAAAAACACCCACTTTTCCTGGTTGGACACATTATGCTCAGTTATCAAATACTTCCAGATTATCTGATGATGGAGCTTATGCACTTATGCACTTCTCTTTAGACACCATATTTTCTGTCAGTGGCCTTTTGTCAAAAGTATTACAACTTTTGAAATAAGACAAATTGCTCAGACACCTAAACAAACAAAGTGCACTTTCAGTTTTACATGAGCATCAAATACATCTATATTGTGCATATATCTAATGTATATTTCCTAAGAATTGTTATTCTAATCACACACATGAGTTCTTCCTGATGACACATTTCATACTTTATAATTTTGAGAAGGACATTTCAATTTAGAACTGAAAATTATTAAAGAATTTATAAATGTTGACACATTAAAAAGACTTTGTATTTAAGTGCTGTTGTATATTTATGTAAATAACTTAATATATTTTTGATAATATGCTACATGTATGCTCTACATGTAAATGCACAGATTTATATTTTGAATGTAATGCAATATGATGAACTGGTGTGAAAAACAAAAAGGAAATGTTGAAGGGATAGTAAACACAAATAAACGCACACACACACACACACACACACACACACACACACACACAAATCTGATGTGACCTGTAAAGACTGTTGATACTTATACCTGGTTATGCCTAATTATCATGGCCAAACTTTGAAGACCACAAACAATTATCTGAATGTAATATTTAGGATGGCCTGTTAGCTTCTTTGCCTCTTCATTTTTCTAAACATTCTTAGATAACAATTACAGCATAAAAAATATATATATTTCATGTTTTCTAAATAATGTTTACATTTAGTCAAAAAAAGTTGATTGGTGCAAGACTGTACATCTAATTCAAATCGATTTAAATATTTTATAAATTTGTCGATGTTTATATTTGTTTATGAATGTCAACCACTTTAATGTCATCATGCACACCTGTTGATCTCTGAACTCCTTGTATAACTCGGGATGAGCACATAACAGATGCTTTGCGAGATTTGCTGTGTTCCCTCCTGAAGCAGCTACGTGAATTATGGATTTGTTTGATAATTAATACCGTATTTAACTTCTGTATTGCTGATTTTCAGTCACTTGAGGGTGGTGAAATCTGCATCACTGTCACGTCACAGCGACTGAACTGCCAATCAATGAAGTGATGGGCACTTTTGAAGCACTGCTTCGTGAAGCTTCGAAAACTTTGTGAATCATTTCTTTCTAAAAAAGTGGTTCGGAGCGTGTATCAAACTGCCAAAGTCAAATGATTTTAGTAAACGAGGCTTCGTTACGTCATGACTGTTTCGAAACGTTTTAAGATTTCAATGGTTTATCGACGAGGGGCGATGATTTCTGTGAACCCCTGAATCAGTTCATTGAGATCTCCCCCCAGTGGTGAACCACTCAACCAGCGTCTATGGTTTTTATTCGATCTCGGAGCAGTTTGATCAATTTGTAAACATTTTTAACAGCTGAAGATGCACTTATCAAGTGCAAACCAGAAACCTTTTTCAGTAAAGCAGTCTCCATTCTCCATGGTCTACTATTACATCAGGTCTGGAAACAATCTCCATGAGAAGGAACGTCATACTGAGAGCATTGAGATGTTCACCAAAGCTTTGGAGGATGGTGAATCTGGAGAGATTATTCCTCTATATAATCGTGCACTGGCCACTACTATAAAGAAAGACAGTGGTTATATCACTCGAGCATTGGCTGACCTGGAAAAGGCTGACAAGGCTGTAGTTTCATACAAATTATATCTGGCACAGATTATTAATCACATTAAATTACCATGTGCCAGAAACAGAAGGCAATACTTTGCTCACAAAACAGTTTATGATTGTAAATCTACTCAAGATGAACATTCAGGATGCTGGAATGAAGTTGAAGAGGGCTGTAAGCACAGGTGGAAATGTGAGACTGACTGAAAAACACCCACTTTTCCTGGTTGGACACATTATGCTCAGTTATCAAATACTTCCAGATTATCTGATGATGGAGCTTATGCACTTATGCACTTCTCTTTAGACACCATATTTTCTGTCAGTGGCCTTTTGTCAAAAGTATTACAACTTTTGAAATAAGACAAATTGCTCAGACACCTAAACAAACAAAGTGCACTTTCAGTTTTACATGAGCATCAAATACATCTATATTGTGCATATATCTAATGTATATTTCCTAAGAATTGTTATTCTAATCACACACATGAGTTCTTCCTGATGACACATTTCATACTTTATAATTTTGAGAAGGACATTTCAATTTAGAACTGAAAATTATTAAAGAATTTATAAATGTTGACACATTAAAAAGACTTTGTATTTAAGTGCTGTTGTATATTTATGTAAATAACTTAATATATTTTTGATAATATGCTACATGTATGCTCTACATGTAAATGCACAGATTTATATTTTGAATGTAATGCAATATGATGAACTGGTGTGAAAAACAAAAAGGAAATGTTGAAGGGATAGTAAACACAAATAAACGCACACACACACACACACACACACACACACACACACACAAATCTGATGTGACCTGTAAAGACTGTTGATACTTATACCTGGTTATGCCTAATTATCATGGCCAAACTTTGAAGACCACAAACAATTATCTGAATGTAATATTTAGGATGGCCTGTTAGCTTCTTTGCCTCTTCATTTTTCTAAACATTCTTAGATAACAATTACAGCATAAAAAATATATATATTTCATGTTTTCTAAATAATGTTTACATTTAGTCAAAAAAAGTTGATTGGTGCAAGACTGTACATCTAATTCAAATCGATTTAAATATTTTATAAATTTGTCGATGTTTATATTTGTTTATGAATGTCAACCACTTTAATGTCATCATGCACACCTGTTGATCTCTGAACTCCTTGTATAACTCGGGATGAGCACATAACAGATGCTTTGCGAGATTTGCTGTGTTCCCTCCTGAAGCAGCTACGTGAATTATGGATTTGTTTGATAATTAATACCGTATTTAACTTCTGTATTGCTGATTTTCAGTCACTTGAGGGTGGTGAAATCTGCATCACTGTCACGTCACAGCGACTGAACTGCCAATCAATGAAGTGATGGGCACTTTTGAAGCACTGCTTCGTGAAGCTTCGAAAACTTTGTGAATCATTTCTTTCTAAAAAAGTGGTTCGGAGCGTGTATCAAACTGCCAAAGTCAAATGATTTTAGTAAACGAGGCTTCGTTACGTCATGACTGTTTCGAAACGTTTTAAGATTTCAATGGTTTATCGACGAGGGGCGATGATTTCTGTGAACCCCTGAATCATGCCAGTTCACTGAAATCTCCCCCCAGCGGTGAACCACTCAACCAGCGTCTATGGTTTGTATTCGATCTCGGATCAGTTTGATCAATTTGTAAACATTTTTTAATGATACATTTGCGTAATTAAAAGGATGAGTAGTTAATAGTCTCTTATTGTCCTGTATAGACAAGATGTCCAAAAAACAAACAAAACAAGCCCTGCAAATTAATAATAATTATTTTAAAAACACATATTATACAGACACTCCACATTTAATGGTATTTTATTATTTAAAGGCACAACATGTAAGAGGTCCGTAATAAAATATCCAAAAACCACTTGCACAGTGCTATATATTTCATGCAGTTGTGTACTTACGTTATCCCAAAAGTTCCCAAGGATTTGTAAATCCAGAAAAAATCCAGTTTTAAATAATGGGTAGTTCATTGTCGCCTATGTCGCAGAAACTACACTCTTAAAAATAAAGGTGCTTCACGATGCCATAGAAGAACCTTTTTGTCTAAATGGTTCCATAAAGATCCTTTAACATCTGAAGAACCTTCCTGTTTCACAAAAGGTTCTTTGTGGCGAAAGAAGGTTCTTCAGATTATAAAAAGTTAAGAAAGAGATGGTTCTTTAAAGAACATTTGACTGAATGGTTCTTTGTGGAACCAAAAATGGTTCTTCTATGGCATCGCTTGAAGAACCTTTTGAAGCACCTTTATTTTTAAGAGTGTATGGCAAAAAAATAAAAAAAAAATATAAAAACTATGGCAATGTGGACAAAAATGCTGGGGTACAGTTCCGTTACAGCTGTCGCGAATAAAATGAAAATTAAATGAAAATTAAAAGTGTTGGCGACAGCATTAAGTTTAGATCTGCTCAATGTTACACCATGATTATTTTTCTGCGTTTTTACTGTGATGAGCGTTGTAACCAATCACACACGAGTCTGTTGAGTTTATGAATGCAATGGCCAATCAGAGGCATTTAGATGAGTCATCGCTGAAACACAAAATATAAGTATAGACAGTTGGATATTGCTCATGTTTTATTGCACAGTGGGGAGAACATTTAACGGTTCATGAGGTAGATGGCCTGAGGGAAGAAACTTTTCCTGTGTCTGGCTGTTCTGGTGCCCAGAGCTCTGTAGCGCCGGCCAGACGGTAACAGTTCAAAGATGAAGTGTGCTGGGTGTGAGGGGTCCAGAATGATTTTACCAGCCCTTTTGCTCACTCTGGATAAGTGCAGTTCTTGGAGAGAAGGGAGGGTTGTGCCAGTGATTCGCTCAGCAGTCCGGACTACCCTCTGTAGTCTTCTGAGGTCAGATTTGGTAGCTGAGCTGAACCAGACAGTTATAGAAGTGCAGAGGACAGATTCAATGATAGCAGAGTAGAACTGTTTCAGCAGCTCCTGTGACTCCACATTTAATGGTATTTTATTATTTAAAGGCACAACATGTAAGAGGTCCGTAATAAAATATCCAAAAACCACTTGCACAGTGCTATATATTTCATGCAGTTGTGTACTTACGTTATCCCAAAAGTTCCCAAGGATTTGTAAATCCAGAAAAAATCCAGTTTTAAATAATGGGTAGTTCATTGTCGCCTATGTCGCAGAAACTACACTCTTAAAAATAAAGGTGCTTCACGATGCCATAGAAGAACCTTTTTGTCTAAATGGTTCCATAAAGATCCTTTAACATCTGAAGAACCTTCCTGTTTCACAAAAGGTTCTTTGTGGCGAAAGAAGGTTCTTCAGATTATAAAAAGTTAAGAAAGAGATGGTTCTTTAAAGAACATTTGACTGAATGGTTCTTTGTGGAACCAAAAATGGTTCTTCTATGGCATCGCTTGAAGAACCTTTTGAAGCACCTTTATTTTTAAGAGTGTATGGCAAAAAAATAAAAAAAAAATATAAAAACTATGGCAATGTGGACAAAAATGCTGGGGTACAGTTCCGTTACAGCTGTCGCGAATAAAATGAAAATTAAATGAAAATTAAAAGTGTTGGCGACAGCATTAAGTTTAGATCTGCTCAATGTTACACCATGATTATTTTTCTGCGTTTTTACTGTGATGAGCGTTGTAACCAATCACACACGAGTCTGTTGAGTTTATGAATGCAATGGCCAATCAGAGGCATTTAGATGAGTCATCGCTGAAACACAAAATATAAGTATAGACAGTTGGATATTGCTCATGTTTTATTGCACAGTGGGGAGAACATTTAACGGTTCATGAGGTAGATGGCCTGAGGGAAGAAACTTTTCCTGTGTCTGGCTGTTCTGGTGCCCAGAGCTCTGTAGCGCCGGCCAGACGGTAACAGTTCAAAGATGAAGTGTGCTGGGTGTGAGGGGTCCAGAATGATTTTACCAGCCCTTTTGCTCACTCTGGATAAGTGCAGTTCTTGGAGAGAAGGGAGGGTTGTGCCAGTGATTCGCTCAGCAGTCCGGACTACCCTCTGTAGTCTTCTGAGGTCAGATTTGGTAGCTGAGCTGAACCAGACAGTTATAGAAGTGCAGAGGACAGATTCAATGATAGCAGAGTAGAACTGTTTCAGCAGCTCCTGTGACAGGTTGAATTTCCTCAGCTGGTGAAGGAAGTACAACCTCTGCTGGGCCTTTTTAGCAATGGACTCAATGTGAATGTCCCACTTCAGGTCCTGAGAGATGGTGGTACCCAGGAACCTGAATGACTCCACTGCAGTCACAGTGCTATCCATGATGGGGGGAGTGCAGGGGGTACAGGAGTCCACAGTCATCTCCACAGTTTTGAGCGTGTTAAGCTCCAGGTTGTTGAGACTGCACCAGACAGCCAGCTCTTTAACCTCCTGACTGTAAGCAGACTCATCTCTGTCCTTGATGAGGTTGATGACTGTAGTGTCGTCCGCAAACTTCAGGAGCTTGACAGAGGGGTCAGTAGATTTGCAGTCGTTGGTGTACAGGGATAAGAGCAGTGGGAGAAGAGCAGTGGGGAGAGAACACAACCCTGAGGAGCGCCAGTGCTGATGGTGAGGGTGTTGGATGTGAATTTACCAATTCTCACTAGATGTTGTCTATCTGTTTATCTGTCATTAATGAACACATATTATACAGACACTTCATGTTTAATGGTATTCAACTATGTTATATATACAGTGGGTACGGAAAGTATTCAGACCCCCTTA